GCGTCAGGGGGGGGGGGGGGGGTGTCTGTTTTAGGATCCATCCTGTTCAATGTCTTCATCAGCGATTTGGCTCTTGACTCGCATCTGACAAGTGGGTCTTTGCCCACAGAAGCTTATGCTCCAATACATCTGTTAGTCTATGAGGTGCCACAGGATTCCTCCAGACTAACACGGCTACCCCTGATACTTGACAGAGAGAGGGTGTTTCTTAAGTTTGCTGATGACACCAAGCTGGGAGGGGTTGCAACTGCTTTGGCGGACAGGGTCATAATACAAAATGATCTGGACAAACTGGAGAAATGGTCTGAGGTAACTAGGATGAAGTTTAATAAGGACAAATGCAAAGTACTCCACTTAGGAAGGAACAATCCATTTCACACATACAGAAGGGGAAGCGACTGTCTAGGAAGGAGCACGGCAGAAAGGAATCTAGGGGTCATAGTGGACCACAAACTAAATACGAGTCAACAGTTTGACACTATTGCAAAAAAAGCAAACATGATTCTGGGATGTATTAACGAGTGTTGTGAGCAAGAGACGCGAAGTCATTCTTCTGCTCTACTCTGTACTGATTAGGTCTCAACTGGAGTATTGTGTCCAGTTCTGGGCACTACATTTCAAGAAAGATGTGGAGAATTGGGGAAGGTCCAAAGAAGAGCAACAAAAATGATTAAAGGTCTAGAAAACATGAGCTGTGAGGGAAGACTAAAGGAATTGGGCTAGTTTAGTTTTAAGAAGAGAAGACTAAGGGGGGGGGCATGATAGAGTTTTCAGGTATCTCTAAAAGGGTGTCACAGGAGGGGGGGGGAAATTTGTTCTTTGCTTCTTGTCCTATCATCAGAGGCCGTGGGCCTAAACTGCAGCAAGGGAGGTTTAGGTTTGACATTAGGAAAAACTTCCTAACTGTCAGGGTGGTTAAACACTGGAATACATTGTCTAAGTAAGGAGATTGTGTGGAATCTCTCACTGGAGATATTTAAGAGCAGGTTAAACAGATATCTATCAGGGATGATCTAGACGGTGCTTGGTCCTGCCATGGGGGCAAGGACTGGACTTGATGGTCTCTTGAAGTCCCTTCCAGTTCTTGTGTTCTATGATTGACCCTGGCTTTCATCTGCAGAAAACCTGTTACCGTGGCCCAAATGGGCTGTGGCATTATGAGAGGACTTAGGGCAGGTCTCACTCAAGAACCCGTCCTAGAAAGCAGCATCTCCTCTTCAGTAGTGACTGCAGGGTAGCAGCTCAGTGGGAAGCCTGCTGCTGCCAGTGGGTGCCTGTGAGACTGTTCACACCCTAAGTTGTATCAAGCTGCACTGAAATTCCAATGGCCCCTGCAGGTGGGATGTTTCATTCTGCCCAGCCCTCCTGCTCACTCAGTGTGACAGCTCAGAGCTCCTGGCTTTCTGCAGCTCAGTCTCCCTGCAGGTTTCTAAGCAAGGGAGTCAGGGAAAGGTCCCCCCTCTGCCATGGCTTATGGTCTGAGCCTGGGAAAAGTGCCCAAGGGACACCCCCCACAGGTTCCTGGCAGCTTGCAAACTATGGGCACTGTGATCAGCCTGCTCCTCCCTGCTCTCCTCTTACAGCTGAGCCAGACTCAGAAGAATGAGACGGTTTGGGCCCCCCCTCTCTTCTCCTTTGCCCCCTTGACACCCAGGTCAGAGGGTTTAGAGTGGTCTCTGGCCAGACTCTATGAAACCCTGCCTGAGCCAGGCTGAAAATGACTTGAATCACTTTGCTGACTTCCCCTTGAACACCCAGGCTACGTCTACACTGGCATCCTTTTCCGGAAATGCTTAAAACGGAACAGTTTTCCGTTATAAGTATTTCCGGAAAAAGCATGTCTACAT